GAAATGTCACAGGATCTGAGGAGGTGGGGACATCAGTTTGTCCTCCACGGAGTAGTTTCATTGCCTCTTATCACAAAACAAATTCAGGACATTTTGGTGAGAGGCACAGGTGGGTTTACTGGGCGGAATTAAAGGGTTACACACTTAGGAAAAATAGTGTGGGTGCTCTAGAGAGAGGCACACTTTAGGGTGCAGTGTATGTGTAGTCTTCGCACTGCAGTATCTTTTAAGACTGGACGTCTAAGGTGTCCCAATAAAAGCAACAGAATTATAGTGGGCGACCTCAACATCTCACTTTCACAAGGACAGGGATCAACTGAAAACACTGAAAAGAAATGTCGGAGCTGAAGCACACGTTAGAAGAGATGGACTTGATAGATATCTACAGAGCGTTGTACCTACTACCCCAGAATACACACTCTTCTTAGCAGTACATGGAACATTCTCCAAAACAGACCACATGCAAGTCCATAAAGCCTGCTTCAATAAATACAAAAGAATTGATATCACTGTAGCATATACTCTCAGACCATTGCGGATTGAAACTAGAAATCAATCACAAAACAAACCACAGAAATTTATAAACTCCTGGAAGTTCAGTAATACATTTCTGAGCAATCAGTGGGTCACAGAAGGAGTCAAGGGAGAAATTAAACAATTTCTGGACTCAAACAGCAAAGCCAGTACAACACACTGAACCTCTGGGACAAAATGAAAGAAGTCCTAAGCAGGAAGCTTATTACAGTCAAATTCATGTTAGAAACACAGAAAAAGCTCAGATAAATAACTTAATGATGAATCTCAAGGTACTCAACAACAATCCAAACTCAAACCTACTTTAAGGAGGGAAATCACAAAAATCAAAGTGGAAATTAATAAAATTGAGACAAAAATACAAAGAATCAGTGAATTCAACAACTGATTCTTTGAAAGAATAAACAAAGTAGATAAACCCTTACCAAGACTTACCAAAAGAAAGAAAAGACTCACACCAATGTAATTAGAAATGAAAAGGGAAAGCTGGGCGTGGTGGTGCAGCCCGTAATCCCAGCACTTGGAGGCTCAGGGAGTAAGATCATGAGTTGGAGGCCAGCCTGGGCTACATAATGAGTTCAAGGCCAACCTGAACTATGTGGTGAGAACTTGTCTCAAAAAAAAGGAAAAGAAAAAGGTGAAATCACAATGGATATTACCAAAATCTAGAAGATAGTAGCTACTATTAAAAATTGTACTCCAACAAATTAGAAAATCTTGAAGAAATGGACAGATTCCTAGACACATACAAATTACCAAAACTGATCAAAGGAGACATAAAAATTCTGAAAAATCCAATAACAAGCAAAGATGGGCCCTTATCAGTGGCACTGCACCTGCCTTGTAAGTGCAAGGTCCTGAGTTCAATTACCAATACTGGAAAACAACTTTTAAAAGCCCAATAACAAGCAAAGAAATTGAAGCAGCAATAAAAAACTTCCCAACTAAGAAAAGCCCAGGACTGATGCACTCACTGAGGACCTTTGCTATGAGCTACATGCTACATCCTAGCCCCCTTTTTATTTATCTTGAGACAGGGCCTCCCTGAGTCATCTTCAGTACTCTGTATCCAGGAGGACTTCTGTGAAGGGAGGCCTCAGAGCCAATGGAGTCAGCAGCACAGAGCATGCCTGACATTTAAGAAGTGGGCATTAGGAGAAGTTTTCATCAAGAGCCTTCAACAACAGAGAAAGGGCTATCATCAAGGAGTCATAAAAGTGACCTACAGAGAATTCCACCATTGTGGGTCAGGTCATAGCCCATTTGTGAATGACCAGAAGCAGAATCATTCCTTATTGGGAAGAAGAAAACTGTGATGATTAGCAAGATACCAGACACCTTTCCCTTCTTTTTTTTTTTTTTGGTATCGAGGATCGAACTTGGGACCTTGCACTTGCAAGGCAGGTGCTGGAACCACTGAGCTAAATCCCCAGACCTTCCCTTCTCTCCTGTGGGTGTCTCAGCCTGGGTTAAGGCTACCTTTGGAAATGGAACAACAACAACAAAACAAAATGGAAAAACACCCTTGAGTGAGAAATTGACTTACTCATATGCACCAGACTGCACTGTGCAGCCTTCAGACTGAGATTGTGTGAGGACACAAGTGTCATCAGAACAGTGAGACAGGCCAAAGGCAACATCCATGGTGAGGAGTAGAGACCTAAGAGGACACAGTAAAAGGGTAAGAATGGAATGAAAAAGGAATTTCAGTCTAGTTTGTAGCACATTAGATCTGTCATATTTAATGGACTGGGAATTTTTTAAAAATTCTAATTAAAAATATGGTCATTAAAAGTTTCAATGATGAAAGGAAATTGTCTTTAGTTGTCATGATTTGATCACAGTTCTTGTCTTGATAACATTACAGAAAGATTAAGAACCTTTTTCATTAGATTGGTTTCCTCCTTGTGTTGATGTTTTTGACAAACTTAAGCAATGAGCTCACCACTCTTACCACATTTGTAAACTTGGTTAAACAAGCTCTGTATCATTTTGGTTCTAATTCAGATTTTATAATTGCGGGTAAAGGAGCAGTATGAGAAGGAGGTAGGCATTATTTCACAGTTCTTTCTGTGAAAGGAAGAAAATCAGCACTCTCAGTTCTTCATGTTGTAAAATTTCTACCTCTTTGGATGGAGAAGGAAGTTCAGTAAGCCCGCCATGGCCAGCCCTTCTAACTGAGTGGCTCACAGGAACTTTGGTGATGAGGAAGTAATCTCGACCTTTGGGCTCAGACCTCCATCAGAGGTTCCCGACTCAGGAAACTCAGGGCACGGGCTTGTGCTGGGCCTCAGGAGTCCCACGGTGTCCTGTTAATAGATGCCAGCCCTTCAGCTGGACATTTGAGGGCAGGAGGAGGTGTGGGTGGTATGCATGATACATGAATCTGATGATACCACCAACATAGAATCTGCCTTTTGATTATAATCATGAAGACATGACCATTTTTGAAGCTGTAAAACGAAGTGGCTTAAACTAACTGCTAAAGTAACAGAATGAAATGCAGCAGAATAGAAATTGTGTCAAAATAATGGAAAACTCAGTTTTATAGCACTTTGTGTGTGTGTGTGTGTGTGTGTGTGTGTCCCTGCCCATGTCTATGCCCCTACCCAAGACCCTGGGAAGGATTCGGAAGCAGCCTTCATGCGGGAGGTTCCTCCCAGTGCACTGAGAGCGGGGTACAGGAAGGGAGGCTGGGAAGGACCAGGGGCGCTGTAAGGTGAGCGTCACACAGCTGTCAGGGAGGCAGAATGAGCCCCAAAGGGACAAACCCTGACGGGGCAAGTGCCCCATCCATGAGGTGCATCTCCAGCACACTCGGGAGAAGTCCCCTGGAGCATTTGGCCCTGGCCCTGTTCTCTCAGCAGCAGCTTGATTTTCTGCCCTATATTGCTTCACTTAAACCAACAGTAACATTTCATTGCACCCTGCAGTTAAGAGATGAATCAGGGTTTTCAAAGGAAAAACCCTCATGAGCACCGGGCGATACCCCGAGCCCTCCAGAGTGGTGCCCAGGCCTCTGAGAGCAGAAGCCCTGGTCCACCCAGGCCTGCTGCAGTCTCCAGGGCCTAAGCCAGACCTCAGCACAGCAGGCAGGGAGCCAGGAGCTTTACTGACAGAGGTGGAAGCCTGAAAACCCTTTCCCATGTATTCCTAGGCTTTATGCATGGGGATTCAGCTGTGTTTGAAACAGGTCTCGTCAAACCCAGGGAAGTAAAAAGATTTAAAGTGTGCTAGGTACATGTACCAACTCTCCAAGTTGCATGTGATCACTATGTTTTGCAAACTTGTACTGATAAAAATAAAAAATTAAACCCCGAAGGAAGGCACATTGTTGGGGTAAAGCAGCTCCATGACGAGTGACTGTCGGCGTCACCTGGGGGAAGTGTGCTGGGGCAGCGTGCAGCACAGTTCAAAAACGAGACTCACCCTGGGGTGGTGAGATGGGGGCTCATGTAGGGGCTCCCTGGACGCTGGGCCAGCACCCGCCACTTCCCTGGAACGGAGCAGAGACCGGAACCTGGGTGAGACAGCTCAGCCCCAGGCAGAGGTTTGTGTCGGGGGGCTTCACGCACCGAGCACATGGGCTGGGGGGACTTCTGCCTTCTCACCCTGCCCCGGCCCCAAAGGACTGGAATCCCTAAGGGCCCTCTCCCTATGCAAAGGGAGCGTGTGCAAAGGCCTTACTGCTGTTTTGTACTCCCTGGGGGGCTCATAATACCTGCTTGGGGCTGTTTGTTAGCAGTCAGGTGCTCATTACCTAGATTATTTTTAATTTTTAAAAAATTTTCCTTCCACACAGAGTACTGAACACAGGGCCTTTGCTCTGAACTATATCCCTGGCACTTACATTTTTTTTTTACTTGGAGACAGGGTTTAGCTAAGTCACTAAGATGCCAAGGCAGGGCTCAAACTTGCGATTTTCCTGCCTCAGCCTCACAGAATCCTTAGAATACAGGTGTGTGCCAACATGTCTGGCTGCCCCAATTTTACTGCAGTATAATTAACACACAAAAATATACAATTAGATGCGTTTGGCCATAGACAATTACGTCTTTAGGCCTTGGGAAATGTTAACATTTTAATTGCATCTTTTCTTCTGCATTTATTGGTGGCAAGATAATACAAGAGAAAGTTCTCATCAATAGTTTGGTTACTCAGCAGTCTGCACAGGAAAAGCAAGCTCTGTAGTTCCACATAAAAAGCGGGATGAATGCTCAACCACTGCCTCATATACCAGTTTTCAAAATAATTAGTGTGTTCCTTAGCATGCTTTAGGGTTAACCGAGCATTTATTTCAGTTGCACTGTGACCTTATCTATCCCTGCCTCTCTATCCAGAATCATCCCTTCCACTAATGAAACAGGACTTAAAGAAAAACAAGTCCTTCCCAGCTGTGTTGGTGACTTTTCTCTCATTGCTGAGACAAAATACCCGACACCCAGAGTTAAAGGGGAAAGGTTTATTTGGCTCACAGTCCATAGAGGTTTCAGTCCATAATCGGCTGGCTCTAAGCAGGGCGGCAGAGGGGCAACAGCTCATGGCGGCAGAAGACAGGAAAAGCAACGAGAGATCTTACCAGCGTCTTCCTGCCTCTTTTACCCCATCCAGACTCCCAGGATTAGGGTGGTGCCAAACTAATCACTCACATGTAGTGGTTTAGTAATCACACTCCTGAATCCCAGCATCACCCATTCCAGGTTCAGCCACCTCCCGAAAAGAAAGCCCCGCCTCATCCACACGGGGGGATCGAACCACAAACCTTGGGCCAGGCTTGGGCCGTTTCACCCACATCCCCCTCTCCTCCATAGCAGTAACTCCTTGTTGTGGTACAGATAAAACTGACAACTGTGTCCTGTTAACAAAGTTCATGACACTCTGTTCTCATATGATTTCTAAGACACTGGCTTCTTTCAAGGCAAAGTTACAAAATTGTCGGCCCTCACTTTCCCTATTTGCTGTAGCCCTCCTCAGAGCCCACAGAGTCACCAAAGAGATCTTCTTTCTTAAGGAGAGCTTTCGCATCACTTGCCACAGTCTCAAGGAAATAATAATGCAAGTAAAAGGTCTTTGTAAAGTAAAGGCCAAGACCGATGGGTCCTATCATGACTGAAAGAACCTTCTCAATGTACTGTTTCAACATTTCCCATAAGGATTCCTTGGTCTCCGCTGACAGCAAGTGAGGAGACTGAAGGTTTGCCTTCAGGTGCTCCACAGACACATGCAGCTCCCTGGCCATCTGTTCTAGTGATGCGTCATCCAGCCCAAAGTAAGACCTGTAGCGGGTTAAGGTCTCCTGCAGCTTCCCAATATCATTGTCACTGAAGAGGCCCATGAGAGGGATGGCTGCCCATACTCCAGCCTTCAGGGCCTCCAGCCAGACCTTCTGCTTCAGGGAATCTCGCTTCTGATCAATGGCAGCTTCCGTAACGCTGGGCAGGCACAGCATGAAGATGTGACGCTTGTGAGCTGGCAGGTCCCTCAGAAGGGTATTCTCCAACTCAGGGAAGTCGTAGTCAGACCTATCAAGGCTGGAAACTAAGAAGACTTGAACAGCAGTCACATTAGCCCTCTGCAACTGTGTCAGACAGTCTTTGTGCATTTTTTGCAGGACGTCTTCCTTATTAAAGGTTGTAGGTTTAGTTCTTTGCTCACTGTTTAATTCATTATCGATTTTTGTTCGAACAAAATAGAATTTCTTATTCATTTTTGCAATGGCTTGGGCTAATTTTGCATCATTATCTTTGAAGCGTGTGGCAGAAACGACCAGGAAAAAGTCATACTCAGCAAACTTTACTTCCTCCAGATATGTTTTGGGAGGGAAGGTGGTGGACCCAAGGCCAGGCAGGTCCCATATGGACACACTGGGAAACACTGGGTGTTTGTATTCAGTTCTGACCATGGTGGTCTCCGTTGGCCCAGTGGCAGCTGCACCTTCTTCTTCATGCCCCACGCCCCGCAGGGCATTTATCAGACTGGATTTTCCTGTTCCACTCTCCCCTGTCACCGCGATGCTCAGCGGAGCATTCTCTATGTCTTTCAGTGCAGCACTGATCACAGAAACTGCTTTCTGAACATCTCCCCGCCTCAGGTGGTATTCAATCAAAGTGTGAATTTCCTCTGAGAGGATTTTACTTTCCATCTTGAAATTTTTGAAATACTCATCAAAACTGGAGGCTAAATCACCATTCTGTGTATTGGAAGATGTGGAGGAGAAGATCTGGCCCATGGCTGTGAGCAGTCGAGGGCACTAGAGGAAGGACACAAGGAGAAGGCCAAAGTTAACTCTGCAGGGAAGACCTTGGATTTTCCCTTAAGACAAAGCAGACTCATCCCCAGGGCCATGTTATAATGGGCAAAAATCTTCCCTTTCTGTTCACAGGCGTTGCCAGGGGCTCCTGGGCTGGCTGCAAACTCAGCCCCACCCAGGCTCTTTCTTTGCCTTGGACACCCCGGCTCCTTTGGGAATGCTTCATGAACTGCAAGGTCTGAGTTTCCATCCCACTTTCCTGGCCCTTACACTTTGTTTACATTGTTTTAGCTATTTTTCTTGTTAGGAAAATCATGTTTCCTCCTGGTGGCCATCTGAAAAGGCTGCAGTAGATGGACCATCACTAAACCGCTTCTGACCTCTAGTGTGACAGCGATGCTTGGCTTCACTACACAGCTATGCGCATCAAGACAGTGAGACGGGCAGTGTGAAAGGAGAGAGAGATGGACCAGTGGAGCCGAGGAGAGCCCAGAAATACAGCCACACACAGTCCACCGATCTGAGACAGAGATGCAAAGGAGAGCCATAAAGCACAGAGAGTCTTCAGGAGAAGCGCTGCACCACATCCACAGGTCAGCGAGTGCAGAGGTGTGGAGCCGACTTTCTTCACAAAAATCAAGTCGGCTCATAGACTTATGTATTACGGGCAAAACTGTAACATTTCAAGAAGAATGTATGGCGATGTTTTGAGATACAATTCCAAACCATGCATGACAGATATAAGTGATGAGGTGGACTTTGCCAAAATGAAAAAAATTCTTTATAAAGGACAGTACCAAGAGAATGAAAGATGGCTCACTGATTGGCAAAACATATTTGCAAGTGCCCTGGGGGTGGCGGTGTACACCTGTGATCGCAGCACCGTGGGAGGCTGAGGCAAAGAGATGGGAAGTTCAAGTCCAGTCTGAGAAACTTACGAGACCTTGTCTCAAAATCAAAAATATAGGGCCGGGGATGTGGCTCAGTGGGAATGCTCTGGATTCAGTCTCCTGCACTGCAAATTAAAAAAAATGAAAACACTCACTTGATAAAGGTCTATAGTACAAAACAGAGATCTCTAAAACTGAACAATGAGAAAATAAGCAACACGATTAAAAATCGGGACAAGGACTTTAGTACACACCTCACCAGAGAAGATGCAGAAGCATAAATGCACGCTGCCTCATATGCTGTGAGGGAAATACAAAGGAAAATAATGGCGAGAAACCGCTATAGCTCCATCGCAATGGCAGCAGTCTGGACAATGACAGCAAGAAATGCTGGGAAGGATGTGGGACAGCAGGACACTTCTCCACTGCAGGTGGAAATTCAAAATGGTACATCCTCTATGCAAGACAGTTTTGCAAATTTTTACAAAACAAACATGCTTAGCATTCAGCCTTCTTGATATTTACACAAAATATTTGCAAACTTTTCTTTACACAAAAACTTGCAGGTCAGCATTTCTAGAAGCTTTATTCATTATTACCAGACTTTGAAATCACCTAGGATGTCGTTCAGTAGGTGAACTGTTTAATAGGATGGTGTTGTGCTAGACAGCAGAATACTATTTAGCAGACTAGAGAAATGAGGCGTGAAACCATGAAAACATCTGAAGGAAGCTAAACCTTATAGGCGTATTTCTATATGAAAGAAGTCAAAAGACTACATATTGAATGATTCCAGTTCTATGAGATTGTGGAAAAGGCAATTACGGAAACAGGTGAAAAAGTTGAAATACCGGTGGTTGCCAGGGTTTGGTGGGAGTGAAAATGCACAACCTAGAGGGATTCTAGGGTACTGAAAATACTTACTGTTACAGTTTATATCTAGATATTCCTCCAAAGCTTCACGTGATCATAGGTGGGGGTTTGGGTGGTGATTGGATTGAGGGGAGTTTTACTCCTCAGTGGACTGTTGTGTTTACAGACACATGTGACTCTGGGAGATAAAGACTGTTCAGGGGACGTGGGTTATTTGGACCATGGACTGCCATGTCCCGAGCTCTTTCCCCTGTGCCATTCCACCCTGCCTGGCGCCAGTGGACTATGGACTAAAACCTCCACAAAGTGTGTGTCAAGGTAAAACTTTCCTCCTTTGAGTTGTGTCCCAGGTACTGTGTCTCAGTGATGAGGAAGCAGCTAGGACAGATTTTGGTGCCACAGAAGTGTGGTGGTTACTGTGACAGGACCTGCTCATGTGTTATAGAAGCTTTGGAATTGGGCTTGGGAGGAGCTGGGAAAGGTTTGGAGACGCTGGCTGGAGAAACAGCCCTAGAACTGTGTAAACCAAGCTTGATGGGAGATTCTGCTGAGTCCAGAAGGGCAGAATACTGATAAGAGAGCCAATGAAAAAGACTAGGCTTGGGCCAGGGATTTAGCTCAGTGGGTTTGCCACCTGCTGTGCAAGCGCAAGGGCCCAAGTTCAATCCCTGGTACCAAAAAAAAAAAAAAAAAAAAAGGAAAAAGACCAGGCTGGGGTGTTTCAGTGGAGAACAAGGACTCCACTGGCATGTCTACTCCAGGCCGTGTCATTTTTATCCTGTCCTGAAAATGTGCAGGAGACTGAGATTAACGGGTGGTGGACTAATTAATCCAGGGGAGGAAATTTCAAGGCTAAGGTTGAGGTGGTGGCATGGGTACTATTGGGGCTTTTAGCCAGCTCTGAGAATCAAGAGTAAAAGGCCCAGCAGAATGAGTTTAAATGTTGTGAGCTTCTCCAGCAAAGACGCGCCTATAAATTTGAAGCCTGCAAAGAGGGAGCGGAGGTGAGCTTATTTGCTAAAAAGATTGGCATTAAAAAGAGCCAAGTACAGTGTTACCTCGGTTCATGAACTGAATTCATTCCACAGTTCTGGAAAAGACGGCTGCATTGCTGTTCATGGGGGAAAGATGGCCTTGGTCATGTTTGTCATCCCATGCAGAGTTTACAAGCGAAAACAAAATTTTTCCAAATGCTTCTGTTTCCAAATCAAGTTGTCTGCAAACAAAAGCCTTGATGAACTGAGGTACAACACAATACAAAGTTCTCCATGAGGGCATGGGAGGAATTTGAAAGAGCCCACCCTTCACAGACTCAAGGGTGGAAGAGGGAAAGGCTTTGCTTTCAAGAGAGCCCAGGGCAGAGTGTCGGCGGCCTACGGGATAGAAATGGATTCTACAGCCCTCAGCTCACCAGGATCCGCCACCAGGCACCCGGGGGCCTCTGCACCCAGCAGCGAGAGGCAAAAGGGACCGATTGGCTCTGCTCCAGCTGGGCAGACCTTGGCAGCACTGACTCAGGCTGGGTTTAGGTGCACAGAGAATGTAAGAGTTGTGAGGTCAGGAAGGCTTCCATCCAGATTGCAGAAAAAGGCCTGTGAGGCCATGCAGTATGGCCCAGACGGCAGTGTGTGAAGCTGTGAGAGTGAGGGTGAAAGCGCAGAGGAGACCCCAGGAAGCTGGAAAAGCAGGAACACGCAGTGTCTGAGGAAAGCTCTGGGAGTGACCACAGCCAGGGCAAGAGAGAAGCCACGAGGGCAGGGCCCCCGAGCCTGCTGGAGCTCACATCTCTCCACAGCTGGCCCTGGGTGCTGCACTTGGAACCTGAGGATTTGATGTTTGCTCTGCTGGCTGTCAGTCTTGCTGCTGTCCATTCCTTTCTATTCCCCTATCTCTCCCTTTTGGTTTTGTTTTTTGTTTTTTGGTACCAGGGATCAAACTCGGGACCTTGGGCTTAGGAGGCGGGCAGCGGAACCACTGAGCTCCATCCCAGGCCCTATCTGGCCCTTTTGGAATGGGAATGTTTCCATTGTGCCTGTGTATGTTATAGGCCTTTAACGTTCTTTCTGATTTTTACAGGGGCTCACAGCTAAGTTTGCCTTGAATCTCAGAGGAGACTCTGGACTTAGCCTTTTCAGCAGTGCTGAAACTCTTAGGACGGTGGCAACTCTTGGAGATGGACTAAATGCCTTCTGTACAAAGGGATGCGCTTGAGTCTTCTGGGTGCGTGGGAAAGACTGCTATGGCTGTGTCTAGGAGCCCCCCAGATCGCAAGCTTTCATAGGTGTGGCTTTGGGAAGGTAAGTGGATCGTGGAGGCGTGGCACTCACGAGTGGATGAGTCCACTGATGTGCTGACAGCCAACTGTGATGTTGAGAGGCGAAGCCTGGTGGGGACAGGTGAGGCACGGGGGACGTGGCCCGGAAGGGTCCATCTCAATCCCTCGCCCCTCAGTCACCCACTGCTCCATGACCGCCATGCCCCCAAGCAGTTGTCCCCTGCCGTGCCCCTCTGCCATACCACCCTGCGGTGGAGGCAGCAGGCTATGGACTCAAACCTCTACACACTGTGAGCCAAAACAAACCTTTCCTCCTTCAAATTCTGGTGTTGGGTATTTTGTCTCAGCTATGAGAAAGTACCTGGGACATCCGATACGATGTGATTCTATAAGAGGGCTTACATGGCATTATACAGTTAATTATGCAGACCCTTGAATGTACCACTTCAACAGCCAGTCCTAAACTACCTGCTTATGCTGTGTCAGAGTAGGTTCACCTGTTGTAAGAAATGCGCCACTCGGGGAGGATGCTGATAATGAGTGAGGCTATGCATGTGAAGGGACAGCGAGTACCTGGAAAAACTCTGTGGCCCCCTTTACATTGTTCTCTGAAAGTATAAGTGCTTTAAAAGTTAAAGTAATAGAAAAAAGAGAGAACATGCAAGATTATCACCTTGGGACTTTCTAAGAGCCAGCGCACCTGACTGGTGGCCCAGTCCTCACCAAACTTCAGCTTCCGGTATAAAGGGTCCACAGAGAAGCGACAAGGGGACTGATTAGTGCAGAGAGCGTCACCGGTAGAAGACAAAGTGTGAGGAAAGGCTGCAGAAAGGGCTGAGGAGCTGGATGGAGTCAGGCAAGGCAGGTGCTCCCTCTGTCACTTCCTGATGTTGCTGGAATTGTCCTGGTTCTAGAGTCCCTGACACTTCCACGCCTTTGATAACAGTAGATGTAACCCTGAGGCAGGGCCCAGAAGGAGCCACATGCCCGGGACCAAATATAAGGGATGATGTGGAAGACCTGTGGCCTGAAGCTCGCAGAGAAAACATTAGTGATTTATACTACCAAGTGACACTTCAAGTCAAGTTGATGTCCTACAGGCTGAAGAGGTCCCCCGGCTACAAGTGTAGGATCAGATACACCCTCCAGGGCGTCCTGGAAGTGACCTACCGAAGCCCAGGAGGACAGGACACAGCAAGAACAGCTTCAGAGAGGAAGTTCCTGGGCAAGCATCCAAGATCTGGTTTGGTGCAGCTGACCAGGGATGCAAGCGGTCTCCATGGAACTGAGTCCCGGGGAGAGATCTGTTAGCCCCTAAGGGGTGTGATGTCAGTCCTTCTGACTGCCCGCAGGAATTTTCTTCCCATAGATGAGAGGGGAAACCTTGAGTATCTGGCTGCTGCAACCCACTGCTTCGGGGAAAGCAGCCCGAACCTAGAGCCCTCTGGGAAGCAGGTGTGCCAACACAGAACCAGTAAGCCTGAGAGCTGGAGATTCACACCCAACCAGGGCCTCGGGGAGGACCGACTAGGAGAGACATCAGCCTCACAGGTGCGGCTTCAGAGGACAGCAGGGTGTGGGACACACGAGGGCGTGCCGATGTCTGCCTGAGACCGGTCCTGAGGAGCCGAGCAGACAGAGTGGGAGCCGAGTGACAGCAGGGAGAGAACACGTGGACATCCGAATTCTGTGTGCTGAGCACATTTCAACAAAATAAAATCCATGCCTGTTGTTCAAACCCCACAGATCGCCTTATGATGTAAGTGGATTTCTGTTCAATATTAGTTTTTATTTAACAATTAAGTTGTGGTAGCTGGGGCAGAGCGCTTTCTGAGACGCCTGTCCCAGAAAGTCTTAGAGCCATTCAGAGAGCACTCATGGAGTAGGAGAGCAGTGGGCGGCAGCGTGAGAAATACCTATGACTACCTTAGGAGACTATCTATACCGAAATCCTCATCTCACCCTTGTGGCTGTGCAGGACCATTAACATGGCTCTCACATCCAAATGAAGGATCAAAGTCACTGACAGGCTGTGAGATAAGGGTGGTCTAATCCTTAGCACAGCATGATCAGTGCTGGCTTCCAGGAGAATGCTATCTAACTGCAGAGCTCTCTGCCAAGAGGCAAAGGCCACACCCAGGATGTGGTGGGAGAGGCGCCCAGGGCTGGGCAGGGGGTACAGACCCCTCGGCAGCTCTGCCTGGGTTACAGTGCTGTGTTCTGACTGAGGGTTTAGATGTGGCACCCGGAGCTCCCAGTGCAGGACCCTATGCACTGACCCTGCTGTCTCTCCCGGACCCTTCAGCCATGCAAGGGGGACAGTTTGTGTGTGAGCAACAGAGGTGAAAGTGTCCAGACGCTTAGAAGTCTGAGTGCTTTATAGCTGTCCATGCACCTCCCCCTCCTCAGCTTTTAAATCCCTCACACCCCAAATCGAGCATCTAGGTCCTTCTAGCCTCAGACCCATGGAACTATCGATTCAGAGGCCTCTATTGATTCCAAAATATTTTCTCTCTCACCAGCTCCTTGTTGCAAACAGAATTCTGGTGCGGGGGTTCCGCTCCTACTTTTCTCCTAGAAGAGCTGAACGTGTGGTCGGTGGAGCCCCCGGCACAGGAAACACCTTCTGCCCACACCTGTCCTCTGGTCAGGGCAGCCGGGCTCGCGTGGCCTGCACACAGGAAAACTGTGCCGAGCTCACCATGGATGTCTGCCTCCTGTGAGGACTCTGAGGACTTAAATCATCTCTGGCTTCTGCCCTCCTCAGGCAGGAATCTGACAAACCACAGGGAAGGGAGGAGCCTCAAGCGTAGGGCACTGGGACTCCAGACCTAGAAAAGTGAAACCGAAATTCTAGAAGCTCCTCTTCCCAGAAACAGAGCCCTTGCTGGGCAGTGAAAGTGAAAGGCACAGTGGTCATGGTTTTTCAGTTTGGGGATACTGGTGAGGGGAGGACACAGGGGCCAGGACAGGGCTTCCCCGTGGCTGAGGAGAGGTCGCCCTGAGCAGGCTCCGGCTTCGGGCCAGGCGGGATCTGATCCAGTGGGTCCAGAACAGAAGCTGAGTCCTGGGCTAAGGACTCTGGCAGTGAGCGGAGTAAACAGCAGGTCTGGGCCACGTCCTTGACCCCAGGCACAGAGCTTCCAAAGCCCTGGCGTTTCCACTGCAAGGACTGTCTTTGTTAACTCACAGAAACCAGGAGACTGCTGTCCTTCCCCCTGAGGTGTGATTCTAGGGGCTCCCACAGGGCGGGGTCTGGGACGGAGCAGAGCCTCCCCAGCCTGTCCCGGGCGCAGACATTTGGCCCCTGAGCACAATGACCCATTTGTCACCTGTACACCTCCAGGGGGCCTTGGCTCAGGGGCTGTACCAACGCACTCTGTATCAAGTTTGGTGCAACCACTGGCCATGTGAGTGATGTCAGGCCCTTCTCTTTTCCAAGGGTTAACGTTCTCCACATCACAGCCATATATTCATTCCAGTGGATGGTGTTTCCAGTGACTAGACCCTATCCGAAAGCTACCCGGAAAGCCCGAACAAAGTTTTATAATACATATTATGTAGAAGATGACTATGATAAGTCAAATCAGCATGCCATGAACTGTGGGTAATTAATATCCTGAAAATAGCTAACCAGCCTAATGGAAAAAATGAATTAAAAATATACTTATTTAAAAAATAAGGCAGGTAGAAGAAAAAAGACAAAAGAAAAAGGAAAATAGCAAATAGGAGGACAGCAGATTTAAATGCTGGCATGTAAATAATAAAGAAGCACATTACATGTTGACAGGTCTTGGAAGGTGGCAGAGTAAAATCCAGCAGCCTATCACAGCCTCTATAGGACCCGTAACTGTGAAGTCTGGAAAACAATATAGCAAAGAAGAGAAAAAGAAAGAAAGATAGATAGATCCGCAAATCAAAAAGAGCCAACAGGAAAGCTAGAAATCAGAGAAACTGGAGAAATTGCAGACAACACAGGGAAAAGAACAAAGCAGTCTGGAATGCTAACTTGGCTCCTGAGGAGGAAGACTTTCCTTGAAAACACAAGGTAAGCCCAGAGAAGGCCATCAACCTCAGGCAGAAACAATAGACCAGGCCTGAAGCACCAGACTCAAAAACAACCCAGTTATTGTATGCTGCAAATACAGTGTGAGATTTTATTCTGAAAGTGAGTCTTACTTGGCAGGCTACACGGCAGCACCTACCATATTTCAGAGTGATTAATCAGGATCTGTGTTGCATACTTTTCCCATTGCTGAGACAAAATACCCAACACTCAAAATTAAAGCTCACAGTTTATAGAGGCTTCAGCCCATAGGCGCCTGGCTCTAAGGCAGGGTCATGTGGCAGAGAACAGTTCATGGTGGACTGAAGGTAGCAAAGCAACAAGGAAACAAATAGCATCTTTCTGCCCCTTTTATCTTATCCAGACTACCAGGATTAGGATGGTGCCAAACCAATCAGTGGACTGATTCAGTAATCACACACCTTTAATCCCAGTGTCACACACTCTAGATTCAGCCACCTCTGAGAAAGCCCTAGGACTGCATGAAGCTTTGGGAGGACATCTAGACACAGCCGTAACAGGAGCCATTGTGGGAAAGCGTTAATGGTTTAAGACTGAAATACTCAGAATCAGAAGCTACAGAACAACTACACTTCAGGGTTTCTGGGGTCACCCTACCACAGTGACTGGGTGGGAGGTGGCCACAAGGGACATTTGCAAAGAGAGGACAGTGAGTCATTAAACCCACTGAGAAGTTTAAGCAGTGGTGAGCCCAGGCTGGTAAGGATACAGTGGACAAGCTCAAGCCAGGAAAGACAGTGGCCCTGCCCTTCATGGTGAGTAGCCAGGTCCCTCCCATATGGTTTTCTGAGCAGGCTGAGTCTAAAAGCACTGGGATTAAGTACAGCAGACTTTGTAACCTTGCCCCTTTGGTTCCTACATCCACCACTGTGCTCGGCGGTCTGTTTGCTTTTCCCATCTGAAAACATGATCGAGGGAACACCTGGGCTTGCATGGTTGCCACAACCTGAGGTGTACAGCAGAGGGGCTCTGAAGCAGGTGGGGCACTGTCCTATCCCATAGGCTGTAAGTTAGACAGACAGAGTAGTGACTTCATGCGCATGGAGTGGCACAAACACTAAGAGCTGCTAGAGTGAACACAGCCCTAAGGGAGACAACACACCATTGATTGAACTTGCCTGGAAGGAAAGGAGAGGCAGGACAGCATACTTTCAAAAAAGTGGGTGTCAAAACAAAATAGAACTCATTATCCCTCCTCCGTACTTAAGGGTTTCCAATTGTTGCGGGCTCAGGTTAGAAACCACTTATTCAAACACACAGAAGAAATTTTTGGACTCATTGGGAGGGGGGGAGTTATTGGGGTATTTGCTTTTTTCTTTCTTTTGCTGTTTCTTTTTTCTTTTTCTTTTTCTTTTTTTTGATACCGGGGATCGAACTTGGGTCCTTGCACCTGTGCAGCAGGCGGCAAAACCACTAAGCGAAATCCCTGGCCCATACTTTTTAGATCTTTAGTTGGCTGTATGCTGTTTATTGTTGAATTCTTTTCTACCATCAGTGGTGACACAGTTGCATTTAGTAGATATTTACTGTATGTCATTACTGGTTTGACTTTATATTATTATTGCAGATCTCTATTCTATTGTCAAGGGTGATATAGTGGTAGCTTTTATAGCTTTTTATTCTGGTCAATATTCAGTTTATCTTTCTTTCTTTCTTTTTTGGTACTGGGGATCGAACTCGGGTCCTTTCGCTTGCTCAGCAGGCGTCGAAACATCAGTTTATCTTTCACTCTATTATTATTGTGGATTTCTTTGCTATCGCCAGTGGTGACACAGCTGTCACTATTAATTGGTTTTCACTGTTAAGTCACTGTCTGATTTGTCTGTGTCATCAGCATCGCTGTGGTTTGTTTGCTTCTCTTTGCATGGTGCTGGGGCTCAAGCCCCCAGAAGAAGGTCGGACACTAACATGATGGTCCAGTATGAAGCTGAGTATGTTGAGGAGGGGTGCAAACACCAACACCTAACCAAACACAAGGACATATCACAGGGAGACAGATTCTTACTAAAGAGGACTCTATAGCAGTGATTGAGTGTTTCTAACCCAAATGCTTTTCAACTTGTACCACAAAACAATAGAATGTTTTTTTTGGTACTGGGGATCGAACTCAGGACCTTGTGCTTTCGAGGTATGTGGCAGCACCACTGAGCTAAATCCCCAGCAAAACAATAGAAATTTGAGAAAGCAAGGCAACAAAATACCTCCCCAAACCCTTAACTCTCCAAAAGCTGATTTCATGGACACTGAAGTGAAGGAAGATACAGGCGAAAAATTCAAAAACTAAATGTCAGAAGAGCTCAAAGAAGAAATACATAAGCAAATTTATATTACCTTTAGCAAGCTTAAAGAGAATCTTATTAAGCAGATAAAGGAATTTACTAATAAAATGGTCAAAAAGTTTAAAGAATAAACAAACAATAAACAATCAAGTTAAACAAGACAATACAAGATATGAATGACCAGTTTGGTAAAGAAAAGCAAGCAAGCAGAAAACCAGAAAATTCCCCAGCAAGCATGAGATTTGATAAGAGCAAAATTACAACTGACATCACTGAAATCCAGTGGATTATAAGAAACTACTTTGAAAACTTATATTGCAATAAATTGGGGAACCTAGAAAAAAATAGAGAAGTTCTTAGACACATATAAATTATCAAAATTGAACCAGGAATATATGAAAATTCTGAACAGACCAATAATTGGCAATGTCAAAGGCAATGATAAAATCTTTACCAACAAAGAAAAGCCCAGGATCCAATGGATTCACCACTGAATTCTATCAGAACTTCAGAAAAGCTGCAATGAGCATAGTCCTCAAATTCTTCAATAAAATTTAAGGGGAAAGAGTACTGCCCAGCTCATTCCTGGATCCTGGCATTATCCTGATACCAAATTGGGACAAGTAATTAGCAAAAAAGAAAACTACAGGTCAATTTCCATAATGAACATGGATGCAAAAATCCACAACAAGATACTGGCAAATAGAAAGCAGAAAACCATTAAAAGGATCATACATTGTGACCAAGTTAACGTCGCTGCAGGGATGCAAAGATGGTTCTACATATGTAATTCAATAAATGTAATATATCATGTAAACAGAAGAAAGGACAAATACCACGTGATAATCTCAATAGATGTAGAGGGGCGGGGGATTTAGCTCAATGGTTCCGCCATGTGGCTCACAAGTGCAAGGTCCTGAGTTCGATCCTCTATACCCAAAGGGAAAAAAAAAGATTTCTTTTAGGGCCGGGGATTTAGTTCAGTGGTTGTGGCGCCTGCCTCACAAGCTCAAGGTTCCGGGTTTGATCCCTGGTACCCAAAAAAAAAAAAAAAAAAAAAGGTCCCATTCAATAGATGTAAATAGATGTAGAAAAAGCCTTTGACAAAATCTGACATTTATTCGTGATGAAAACCTTAAAGAAAATAGGAATAGAAAGAAAGACCTTATCTCAATCTGACAAAAGCTATTTATGAAGAACCCACTCCAGGTATCCTATTACATGGGGAAATACTGAAAGTTTTTCCCTCTAAAATCAGGAACAAAAGAAGGATGCCTACTCTCACTACTCCTGTTAAAAACAGTACTCAAATCTTCAGCCAGAGCAACCAGGAAAGAAAAAGAAATGAAAAGAAACATATAATAAAAGAAAGAGTCAAACTACGCTTATTTGCAGATGACATGATCCTTTAGATAGAAG